CTACTGACAGACTGAATTTTTAACTCAAAGAAAACCCAGCTCAGATTCACATGCAAACCCATAAGCACACAAGCCAAAAAACATTTGTTTAAGCACTTCCTAAAACTTTCTAATGAATACCACGTGCAGACAGCCAGCTATTGGCACGTACAAACAATGCAGTCATGGACTTCACTGCTCATGAAGATTTGCATATAAACCTCAGGCTGCCATCCTAAAAATATTGGCTTCATATATGAGAGATCTGTTGTCTTCACATAGTTATTATTTGCTATGAGTGATGGAGCAAATTCCTTCTCTTTCTGTCACCATCTGTGCCCATGTACTTTAACAAAGATAATTGAAATTTATCCTGAGTAGCTTGATCTCCCTTGCTCTGCATGTAATACAGGCTGTCATTTTGGATGGCTCAAGAAATACTTTTTCTACCTTTCTACTGTGGAGTAGAATAATGATAATCATGATGATGTTGATAATAATATCTTTATATATGAATTATGTATATATGAATTTTATATCTATATATTAATTTTATACCTATATATGAATAATACATAAAAATAAAAATGTTTCATTTATAAAAGCCAGGGAAAACAATTGTACACTTTTTTCTGGGTTCATAAAACACTCAATTCATGCAACAGCCATTCATGTTACATTTCATGCACACTGTGGTCTGAAAATGAGGATCACAAGGTATGCAAGGAACCTGGAAGCAAAGAGGCCTGTAGGGACTCCTCTCAGCTGGAGTCCCAGCCTTTGGCTCTGCTGAGCCTGCCACCATGCACGCTATTAGCATGCATTCTGTGGGGGTGTTCCTGTGATGTGGGAGCATCTCCACCTGGAACAAGTTGAAAAAGCATAAAGGCCATCAAAGTGCTATCAGATGTTATCAACACTGAGCCCACTAAAATCTGGACTACATCTGAGCTACTGGCACACAGATGACAATTCCTACGTCGCATTGAGAATTTCCTGAGTCCTCAGAAGTATTGCTCACACAACAGATGCTTCTGAACAAATTGTCGTTCTCTAAATAACAGAGCAGAGAATAAAAGGAATATTTGTGATGGTTTCATTAATGGTTTTTCAGCCCAGACCCTGAATCTTCTTTCTGCCACAGTTTTCTCTCTCAGGAGGCTTCTTGCACAGACTCTTCTGCCCTCCCCGTGGCTGCTGATGGTGAGACCTGTGTTGGAGCCCATCAACCATAACCACTGTGCTGGCCTAAGAAGGGCTCTCCAACCACAGGCTGGCTGCACAAACCTTCCCAAGCTGGAGGCACCAGCCCTCACCGTATTTTCAGTTTCTCCAGCATCTCTTCACTGTATTTATGTCTATACAGAAAATGACCCCATCCTCTGCCGCTGCTGTCATTTTCTCCCTCTAACCCTCCTGCCCAAAGGCTGTTTTCTTCTCCTTTCGCTCATCTGCCAACCTTCCATTTGTAATTCCCACACCAGGAATACCCTCCTCCTTGCTCCTAAGTGCTCGTGACAGCTGGCCATCTTGGCCCAATCAGGAGTGATTGATCCAGCATCCTTCAGCATCAAGAGCATTTGATCTGTAAAGCTCTCCAGCTGGGTCTGTAATAACTCATATCCTTTGTGGGTTACACATCAAGCAACCCTTTCCCCATCAGTCACGTCTCTCCTGATAGAAAAGTTCTTCAATGAACCCCTTCACATTTAGTCCACCAGCTCATGCAGGACATGATGGAAAAAAAGTTATGAAAAGCAATATTTTGTACTGCTTTGATGCAAACAAAACTGAGCTCCATGTCAATTTTTTTGAATCAAAACTTCTGTGGTCAGAGACCGTGAATTTTTCTAGGATTTAGTCCATGGTAAGAGCAGTCAACTCATAAATATTTATTCCTAAGGCTCACTAAATGAGCCATTACTCACTATTGTGTTTCATTTTCATGAACTCTGTGGCTTTATTTACTGAGCCACATTCAGATCCTGCCATACAGACAGATCTGCAGCTGTCACTGTCAGCACAAGGCTCCTGCACGCTGCTCTGGCATGTGGGAAACCAGGTCCCAGCTTTGAGAGCAAGAGAATCAGGACCAGATGTTCCTGTTCGTGTGAGATCAATGTTTCAATGCACCTGAGCAGAAGAGATAAATACCTTTTTAAACCTGGCAATGAGATGTGTGTCCAGCTCTCCACCCTCCTTTAGGTTTATGACACAAGCCAAATGACCACATTATACTTACTGAGGACTGGTTGTGTTATCCAAATCACAGTTTCTGGTGATGTGTTTTGCACAGTCAGAGTTGTTTTGCTGGTTTGTCTACCTGACCCACAAATGTGAAACTAAGCATCTTTTCAAAAGTTAGATTTGCTGAATGTTTTTTTTAGCTATATAGCAATATGTTTCTGTGCATTACAGGCATGGAAATCAGACCCAAATAAGATGATGCAGACCAATATTCTGCCTCTGACAAAGAGCAGGTTGCAAAGGAAGAACACAAGGAGAGTAAAGTATGTAGAGAGGCTTCCTCCTCATCTCACAGTTTGGAATTCAGTGATTATTAAACAAGCATAGTTATCTTTGTATTTAATTGTTTTTCAAGTTTTTCTTTCTTGGTTTTGTCCCATCTCCCGCTGATCTTATGTGAACTCCCATGCCAAGGAGTATCTAAGGCTTAATTACACGTTGTGTGAAGCAACATTTTCTCTTCTTTCTGTCTCTTTTCTTAAACCTGTCACAAGTGGGTTTCCTTTGGCAGCCCAAGCTCTCATAATGAAAGACATTTAAAAATCATTTCTTATTTCCCTTCTCTGTGCCCTTGTAACCTTACACATCTCTCCATCAATCTCCCACCTCTTTTCAGACTAGAGAGCTACTGTAGGGTCTTGTATGGAAGTTGTTCCCTATCTTTGTTCATCTTTCACCCTGGCCTATAATCTTTTTCCAAATGTATGTATTCCTTGGGAAGTGAAGGACCAGAGCTGTGCATTCTATTGAACAGTCAGGTGCATTATTGTTTATAGAGGGTAATGGTGTCGTGATTTGTTCTCTTTCCTTCTATTAAATACATCTTTATCCCCCATGAGTGACACCTTCTATAGGAAGGAAAGCTGTTTACTGCCACCCCTTGGCCATAACCAGAATGAACTGATGCAGAATCTTTATTGCAAATCCAGCCAAAATTCCCTGAATCCATAAAGCAAATGTGAAGGTGTTAAGGTACCGTGTCAATGAGAAATCTGCAGGGGTTAAACTGAGGATCAACTTCTCTCCACAAACAAGATCTCACTGATATGAGAAACAAATTAAATTATATAAAGATCGGTTCTTAGAAATGCTGACAGTGTTAGGCCTATCACAAGGAAAAACCTTGAGGAAAGGAAATGCAGTTCTCTGATTCAAAACTCACTAAATCATCCAAGTCCTTTCATTGATTTCTGAAGACTTGGTTCCAAAGTTCTACACTGATTGTAATCTAAAGACATAAAACAAAGTAATATGAGAACAGTCATATGAACAGAGGGACATTCTATGTAAAGCCAAAATCACAGAAAACATAAAAAAATTAATTGGAGTTTCTTCCAGCTGATGTATTTTTATTGTTATTTTTATAAATCACTTTTCTATATACTATCAGTCATTATATATTTTGCATATAATCAGTGCTTAATTGCATCTAATTATTAATAAGGACTGAATACATATTACCATGTACATGGAGTATAAGAGACATAAGATGCCACGTAAATGTGTTGAAAATCTCAGTTTCAAATGGCATATTTGCTAATGGAGAATAATGTACCTTCTGACATAATCACACTTTTTTATTATCTAGAGATATCATTCGCATTCAATGGGCATGCATATCATCTACAAGTTAAAAGGTGGGTAATTAAAGTCAGTGGTTTCTTATATAATAATTACACAGTTTTATTCTGAATTCTTATTTTTTGTGAAAAAATCTGTCGTTGACAACTCACTTCAGATTATGAATAATATAAGCGAAATCTTGAAGAAACAATGTTATTTGTGAGTTGATGTGCTCCACAAGTGGATAACCACAGGATCCTCCCCACGCTGCAGTGAAACAGGGAGGCTTTTCTTTCGACAAGTGGGCCAAGAAGCTCCCAGAAGTCGAGCAGTCTGTGTAGAGTGAAATCTGGGTTAGGAGTGAGGAATTCTGCAATCAATGTACCAGCACATGCTTCTTTAGCAGCAAAGAGATGGAGCTCCATTTCAGGCTGCCGTCACCTCCAGGTTTGCTGTGTGCCTTCCCCAGGTGCCACCTCAGGAGCTGAGCTTGTCACAAGCACTCCTATAGCTGGACACCACGGGACACATACTGACACCGTGCTGAGTTCAGGAGTGATGAATCAAAAAGAGTGCATTCAGCCCTGAACAAATGAACAATTTTCTGACTGACTTCTGGACAGGTGACAGCAAAAGATGTGAAAATTTGGTGTTCCTCCTTTCAATTTAACCCTTGTCTGTCCCATTCAGAGGTGTGATGTTTGCAATGCAGTCACAACAGAAGAGCAGATGGGTTCAGAGTCGTCCTCCCCACCATCGCTCTGATGATGAATCAGATGCCAGCAGCACACTGCAAAAGTTCAGTACCGACAGCCACAACCAAGCTGTCCCTGCCTGCAAGAACGTGGCTCGACAAGTACCAAAAAAAAAAAAAAAATCTTGAATTGGCTTGCTGTGGGAGGGAGCACAGAAAGGCTGCTGAAAGTCAGAGCTTTGAAAAATATGCTAGGGAGCACGGGCAGGGAGAGCCTGCAGCTTCTTCATCATGCAGCATCTTCTTTGATTCTATAGTAGATGGGACTCTGCTGGAAAGAACTCCTTGGCGGTTCCTTCACCAAGTGAATTCTGAGGTATTCAACCGTTTTACAGTAATTTCTCAGAGGAAATCATAATAAAATATGGCACCTGCCAGCCCAAGGCAGAAATGCACTGAAACAGTTTCATCTCATTGCAGTGGCCAATGCTTACAAGTGAGGGAGAAATGAATGCTGTTATTTTGGATATATCTTCTTTGATGGCATCTTTTTCTCTGCACAAAATGAAATTACCTTTTTATACAAAACAATTAAGCGATCTTGACCCAGCTTAAAAGCAATGAAAACAATTTCCATGCCAATAATAATATAAAGGGAAAAAAACAAGAAAAACTTGGGATGTTCCAGCTGTGTATCTCCAAATCCAATAGTGGTCAAGGTGATAAAGCAGAAATAAAAGGCTTCCTGAAAATCCAAATTGGATTCCCACTTTGGAAGAATAGCAGCTGCACAGGAGATGTACACAAAGATAACGAGCACCATTAATACAATGGGCACATCTAATTTTTCTAACTCTTTCCCTATTTTGTCAAAATTCTCGATTACTCTGGACATTGTCTTTCCCCTGGCAAGTTCAGGACATGAACTCCATCTCTCAATGCTTTTATTTCTTGCTGGCTTTGTTTGCTCATTTTCTCTGGCAATTAACATTTCAAAAAGTTCAACATTGCGATATTTGATCGGCCTCCTTTTCCCACTGGGCTGACTTTTCAGCACTTCCATAATTGTCAGGGGCTCATTGATGACTATATTAGACTGTGCTCTGGACTTTAGTTCATCCCTTTTGTTACATGTGGACCCAGAGCAGAGTTTGGAGGCCAGAACTTTTGCCTGCAGTTTTCGGAATTCATTGTATGACTTGGATAAAACAGTCGCAAGGATGTCTCCCGTGTCTGTCAGGACCAAGAACATCAGAGGGATACCAAACAAAGCATACAACATACAGAGATATTTCCCAATCCGTGTCATGGGGTAGGTATTGCCATAACCTTGAACAATAACAAGAAGAGGAGGAGAAGGGAAAGGGAGAGAGAGATAACATTGTGATTTATTAGGTATTCACGTCCTCTGGGCTTTTTATCACTGTCAGGTTTTGAAAGTCAGTTTTTAGTCCAAAGCACACTGTTCTTTTTGGCTTTGTTTTGAGGCTGTTAAAATTTCTGAGTCCCACACATTTGATACTAATGCAGGGATCCTACCTCTTCAAGCACTTTGAAGTTTGGAGTTTGCCAGTTCTGTTGAATTAACTCTTCCTACCTTGTGTGCACCTTATCAGCTTCAGCACTTACCTGTCTGAAAACAAGAGACCATTTAAGGAGGAGAAAGAGAAAGTTTAGGCCAGCCCAAGACTGGTGTGCAGTCTCTATCCTGCTGGAGACTGCTCTGAGGAAGATTTCCTGACCTGGGTTAAGGAGGAACCATAGGCAGGACAACGAGAGAGGTCTTAGGCCCATGGGTCCCTGCCCAGGGGATTTGAGCTGAGGGCTGAGCTGAAAGGACAGCAGCTGCTCTGGGAGAAGCTAATGGGCCATGCAGGAGGATCTGAGGGGTTATCTCCTGGCCAGCCCCCAGGATCTCACAGCACGACTAAAGGTTTTCTGGGGATGAAACTCCATGAGCTCCAGGAAGATTCAGATCTAGATGTCTAAATGTGAAACCAGGACAGCACTGTGGATCAGACTGGGACAATGAGACCCAGAAGTCAAACCTAATTTCTCAATCAAACCCGCTTGTGACGAATGGTAAGGTGAGAACAGATTTGAAATGGTCCCTAGTTCATCAGCTCCAGCTCTAACGGCACATGTTGCATTGACTTTGTGTTTGTTCTGACTTCACAGTTTTCAGAGTCCCTCAGATGTACTCAGAACAGGGGATCAAGTGAGGAAGCATGTGCTTATCAAATGAGGAAATGCATGTTTACCCTAGAGGATTAAAGCTTACAAATATCAATTACAACAAACAGGGAAACACTACCAGACACACAGCCTTAACGGTAGCAGAAAATATGTCCTTCCCCTAAATTCAATTTGGATATTTATATTTCCTTCCTCTAACATGCTTAATTTTACAACTTAAATTATAAGTTAGTGCTTTTCCATTATATTGAGAGAAAACATCAGTATTACAGTAACTGTATTAAATTTTAACAACCATTTTTCTCCTCATCCTCCAAAAAGACATAAAGCATTTCTTCTCTCCCTTCAAAAACATTGCTTTTTTCTAGATGATCTTCTAGGACAAGTATTAAGCCTGTAAGATTATTAGCTCATATGCTGAGGTATGGTTTCCTTCATTAGCTTCATCAGTTCATGTTTTCACTAATGATTGCCACAGCCTTTGGTCTGAACCCAATCTCAGTCCCTGCTTTGCTGTGAGGCACTGAAACACTATTTATTCTTGGTCACTCTGTTCCCCACAGGCCAACTGAAAATGCTGATCTTTACTGTTGAAGCAACTGGGGAAGATTAATTATTGCAGTTATTGCACAGTTATATTATTTCCTCTTTTTTTTTAATCAGTGTCTGTGCATTAAAAATACTTTATACAGTTTCAAGGCTTAAAACTTATCCTGAGTTTAAATGTAGCTATCCAGAAATCTATCCTAGCTGAGCCACAAGGCAGCCTCCACGGGCAGTGAAGACATGACAGTTCAGACCACCAAACTTCACACTAGATGCCTCAATTCTCCTAGATAATCCAAGGTAGTTAATTTAATTCTACTCTGATGTGATTTATCAGTTCCTAATACTGCAAATAACAAACCCACCACAATGGAAATAGCCACTTACTCCACCTGTTAGAAACAACCATTCTAGGCTTTCTACTGATCCCAAAACTCGGGTCAAAACCTGAGAAAGCTGCATTAATGCTCAGTGCTACGAGGGCAGAAAATACTGGCAGTTTAGAAATAAATATGTTGGGTTAGTGTGTATGGTGACATTTGTCAAACCCCGTGTTAGTGGAGGTGGGTAAATACACCCCAGGAAGGTGTTTCCAACAACTGGCTTTTTCATCAGTTTGCTGAAGTCAAAGCTTTCTGATAAAACATCCCCTTTCAAAAGTTCCAAGCTGCTGTGTCTATACCAGGAAATATTCACAGGCATGAGGGTTCTGGTCCCATCTCCAATATGTGTCTCTGACCATCTAGACGACTGTTTTCAAACTCAGGGGCTGCAAGAAGCTGGATTGGAACAGTCATCTAAGACATCAGAGTCCGAGGTTTAAGCTTCTGCTGTGACTCAGGCAGCACTCAATGCTCCCAGTGAATATTTTAGCTCTCACACTATTCCTTGTATAGAATAAGCTCTTTTCTAGGATTCAGTTTTAATTTTGCTTTAAGATGCACACCCTTGCTGGGGCCTTGAGTGTATCCTGATGCAGTGGAGAAATGTCCTTGCAATTTGACACAATGCTGTGGGAATATTTCCCATCCAGCTTTGATTCTGACAAATTTAGACAGACAGTTCCTGTACTTGTCAGCATTTGAGAAAGATTAGCAAAAGGATAAAAGTAGTTTGGGGAATGAGCATGAGGAATTGTATTTAAGAATGCAGAGGCAGCCAAAATCAGAGCAGATGTTTCTATTTGATCTAGTTCCTCCATGGAAATATGAAGTCAGAATAAAAGAATTCAGAGGTGTCACTTAAACATTATCATGTGCTGTTAACCCAGAGAATTATGAGCAACACCACGGTTAATGAAAGACCCATACATTAAGGAAGATGAATTACACATCAACAGCATGGAACACACAATAACAATAAGGTTTGACTGAAAAATGGAGCTTTCCTTCTACTTTAAAATAATAGTTCTGTGTACATGTCCTATATGAGTATGTGTTATAGTATATATGTAATGATGTAGCTAATTAATGTGTACCAACATTAGTTACTAAATTCTGACTTGTTTCTGTGACTCAGCTACACCTCTGCAACCAGTATTTACAAAACTACTTGCAGGCTCAGCATCAATACTGAGAAGAAAAATTCAAGGGGATCTGGGTTTTGGGTTTAGGAGAGGGGTTTTTGTTTGTTTAGAGCTCTTCTAATTCTCTGGAAAAAAGTCATTAGAGAAAACAGCAATAGCAATTTATTCTATAAGGTGTTACTTTACCTCTGAACTTACCCACAGTCGTGAACACTGTGCAGCAAAAAAAGAGAGACCCAAAGAAACTCCATTTGTCTTTTGGATTGACAAACCAGTCTTGTTGAGCTGTGCTGAGAAGATCATGGATTTTTTTCTTAAACTTCACCTCATTTTCTGTCATGTTATCTGTCACAGTCACAGCAGGAGACACAGTGAGTGTTTGCAGACCATCACTGAGGGAGCAGCCAGTATGTTATTCCAGGGAAGTTTACTCCAGCTGAGAATTAGCTCATATTCTTTTAGAAGATAAAAATATTCACCTTCTTGCCCTCCCCTTTCAACCCCCCCATTCCTGAAAAAATCAGGTGGGTTCAGTGGCTTTAGTGAATAAAGAAATAAGGAACGAATAAACATAAGCATAAAGAAGAGGACAGCCTGAATGTCCTCTTTCATTTTGGACTCCCCAGGAGATTGGTCTTCTTTTGACAAAAAGGCATCAGAAATGTGGAGTCAACAGTAGGAAAATTATATGAACCACTTGGATGTCACTGCCCAGCACTCTGCTGCGAATCCCAGAGCCTGCAGCCCTTATTCCTCCTCCCCGTGGCTGAGCCTTGCTTGAAAGGACATTATCTACAGGGTTGATTGCCCAAAACAGATCACTGTGTCAGCACAGCTACCTGAGTGAAACTCCAAGCCTGTGAACGAGCCCCAGCACAGATCCAGGAGGATTTATAGCCCTTCTCTTCCACTCTACCCCCTCCATCAGCACCACTGGGTCTGGGGTGCAGAACTGCACCTCTCTCACCCTGGGCATGCCGTCACCAGAGGGCTGGTGGGGTGGCTCACAGCAGGGGAGGAGGAGCGGGAGAAACTTTCTGAGATAGAGATTTCAGTCCCCAGAAAACAGAAGGAAACACCACAGGAATCTCAGCTAGTCTTCATGGACCTTAGGTAAGCTGGGCAAAAGGGAGAACACAGGCACCTCAGCAAAGCCTTTTCAGGTAGGAACACAGGGGCTGGGGAAGCTGCAGTTAAAAATCCCAGCTAAGGAAGGAAACAGCAGTTATTAGCTAGGCAGAGGAAAAATCCTGTTTGCAGGGTCAGCTGTCTCTATTTTGAAAAATGTCTTCAAAAGCAAAAATTCTTATTCCAAAAGCAAGAGAATGAGTGACTCCCTGTATAATTAAGTCATTTTGAAATTCCAGTACATACCTGATAAACTTCTGCCGAGGTACGTCAGATTCTGCAGAAAATTTCTATAGTCTTCACTAAATTCTACCTTCCGGTTACCTTCAATGTGGGAAAACATGAGAGCCCCCAGAAAAGCATAGATGACAAGAGACAGAATGAAGCAGGTATGAGGAAACACTGCCCAAAATAGTTTTTTACATGCTGTTTTACCTCGCAGATGCTGGGATGTTGATGCCATCCTAAGCTTGCCTTTTTTTTTTTTTTTAATATATAATTTTGTGGAGAAGACACAGCTTTTAGAAAGAATGATGAGGATGTAAAAGCTTTTGCATCCTAGAAAAGCTTCTCCTGCGAAAACAAAGATTGTTCTGCCTCAGGCTTTCAGATCACATGTCCTTATAAGTGGAGATTGCACTACAGTCCCAATGGAAAAGGAACACAACTAATCAAGCCTTGAAATACTTCTCAGTTGATGCCACGCCACTCTATCCCTGAATTACTATTGATCAGCCAGCACTGTAATGCACATGGATTACCAGCTTCTATCAGTTTTCACTGGAGCCAATTCATGTTTAAAGTTTCTTGTCCTGAACTACCATTTCCCATTGATGCAGTAGAAATGTTTCCAGCTCCCAGGAGGGAAAATGTGCACTGTAAGGGACGGATTTTTTAAAAGATTTCTCCCAGAAATTAAGAGCAAAATTTAAAATTTAAAATTTATTGAAAGAAGGGTATGGCACTAATTGTTGTCATCTCTGGGTAGACTGTATAACAATTAATTTCTCTTTCAGAGGGTTAGAGAATCTCTCTATACCATGCAGTCTCTGTGGAGGAGGCCTTTTGAATTTTAAATTATTTTTCTCAAAAAAAAAAAAAGTCAATAAGGTTTGTCCTGGTTCTCACTTGATTAAAATCTTGTTGTATCAATAGAGGTTTCAATTATGAAACTCCCACTGATCTTAGTAAGCAAGAATTGTAGCATTCAGTTCAAGGTTAGTGATCTTTGCAAAATACATTCAACTTTAAAATAAAACCTTTCTTTTCATCCATCACTCTGAAACACTTGGAGCAACAAGCAGTATCACTGCCCTTTGCAATATTTGTAGTGGTAGTAATGGGAGTTGGACTTTACAGAAAGAGGTGTTAAATATTTCATCTCTAGGCCTCTTTCATTAAAAATTAAAACATTCTTGTGCAGCCAAGACCCTACTGAGCTGTATATAAGTAATATGTCCACACTGCAAGAAATCCTACATGGTTTCAATTGTTTCTTTTAGTTCAAACTCTCAGCAAATTGGATCAGAAGATATTTTATGCACATCAGTGTGGAAGTCTTTGCTATAGAATAGAAGCTTTCAAGGCTAAGGCAAAAAGAAGCCTCTGTGCTTGCTACTTTTCTGGTTATCTGCCTCATTGGCTCACTGGTGCTTTTTGACAGCAGATTTATAAATCCTCTTATTGCAGTCAATCTCTTTTTTACCCCCCATTGACCTGAAACCCAGGGTTAAACACTGCTAATATTCATAATTAATCAAAAGAAGCAGAATTTCCTGAGAGGTTGTACTTGGAGATAATGTACATAGGTTTGGTGTCCTGAGCATAGGACCAGGGACACAGGGAAGTCAAAGGGACCGATGGAAGAGCAAAGGGGCTGTAGGCAGTGGGGTGCTCCGTGCTGGAAGCACAATGCTGGGAAAGTTTTGTAGGGAGTGGATACTGGTGTCATATAAATTGTTAGAGATTATATTAATTTCTAAAAAAAAAAAAAAAAAACACCGAACAAAAAACAGAGAGACAAACTCCCTCTCCAAAAGTTTTTAAGGGAATTAAACAGCTATGGCATAACAGAGAAAGTCTTCACAGGAAGAAATTAATGATTAACAGAGAGGATCAGAGGGCAGGAGTAAAAGGCAGAGGGAGTTCAGTGATGGAGTTACGTGGGGGTTTGTGCTGCAGCTCTGCTGCTCCACACATTCATAAATGACCTGGATAGAGAGTAAATGTTTGCTGATGGTGTGGAGCTGTTCAGAGCAGTGAGATTAAGGGCAGATTGGAATTGTAGAAGGATCTGAGGGTGCCTAGCAATGAAGTGGCAGATAAAAGCCAAGTAGATACATGTAAAATGGCATAAACAATACAAACTTCACCTAGAAAGTGATGAGCTCTGGGCTGACCATCACCACTGAGCAGCAAGATCTGGGGGTACAATGTGACAGTACCACAAACACATCAGCCCAGCACCAGATCATGGTGAAGAGGGAAAACCTGTGTTGGGAATAATGAGTCAGAAACAGAGACTAAAACATTGGACAGCTATATCCTATTGTACAATTGCTTGTTTGCACATACCTGGAGAAGTCAGTGTGGTTCTGGTACCCTGCTCTCAGGCAGCACAGATGAAAACTGGGAGCATTTCCAAAGCAAAAGGATGGCTGAAGGTGTGGACACCACTCAAAGAATGACTGAGCAGTGCCTTTTGCCGGGGTGGGGGGGAAGTGTAGCTGAGGGAGAACATAACAGCAGTCTTCAAACTCCCAGGTGGTCTGGAGAGAGCAGGAAGGGATCAGCTGTCTGTAGTCTCCTCTGGAACCAGAACAGAGGACCATCAAACAAAGCAGGTAGGAAGCTGCTTCAAAACAAATAAAAGAGGATGGTTTCTCATATAGGTAGAAAATTCTCTGCCAAAGGATGTTGGCTTTCCATACATCAAAGAAGAGAATGAAGAAATGTTTAGAAGAACAACCGTTAATACTGTCTGCAAACCACCAGGGCTCAGTAACTCCCCTGAACTGAAAATGGTTTGCAGCTGGAAAAATGACACAGGGTATGGGCCAAATGGACCCCATGTCTGAGGCAACATAGTCACACTGATATTCTGAAAAAGATTTTCACTGCCCAGTATGATAATTCTGACACAATTTATCCTGAACAGTTTTTCATCTACATCTCAGATACAAGCATCTTTCCCCCAGAGTGCTTTAAAACCTTCTCAGCTGCCTCCTATGCATGGTGCTGCAAAGTATTTAGCAATTCCCAGAAGCTTCTCAGCCATTTGCAGCATCAGGCTCTGAGCTTGTGACAACAACAAAATTCAATAAAAATAAATCCAAAAATGATTTTTACATTATTTTCTTAATCTAAACCATTTCCCATTATCGCTGTATTACATATTTGAACTCAGTTGCTTAAAAGCAAATCCCGCTAACCACAAGTTCTTCCAAATTGAGTTACTGGTACTTGTATTGAGAGACATTTTTGCAATACACATTTCCTATTCACATTAATGGACAGCAAACCTGCACTTGTCCTAACTTCCATTTCTTTGATTAGGGCAAGTCAGAGTGCTCCAAAGGTGCTGTGTGAAAGGAGAGCTTGTGACCACAGCTGCAAGGTTAAATAATTCCAGTGCAAATATACTTATGTTAGAATTCCTGCTTTATCTGATGTTTCTGGATTACAAAGGTTAAACCTTGAAGGTCATTGTTTGGGTAGAAAGATTTTTTTTCAATAATCAGTAAAACTCTCCCTCCATTAAATCACCTGCTATGTTGTCAAAGACCTGCTGTGTTACCTCTTCCATGAAACACCTTTGGATTCACCATTCTGTACTGACAAATGTTCAATAGTGTAATACCTTCTCCTTTTTTGAAGAAAAACAAAGTGACTTGAAGGATGATAAGTGCTTTTTGTAAAAAAAAAAAAAATACAATGGACTAAATTGTTTGCTTTTATTTACATCTGGCATTGATTGTGGTGGGAATATTGTCTGATAGAGGAATAAGATCTCAGCCTGGCACACTTCATGACAATGAGAATTAAAAACATTCCATTCAAGGTTTCATGTTAACAAGGATCAGAGAGGATCTGAACTATTTCTCTAGCATATGCCCCTGGAAAGTATTTCCAGAATGCACTAGTATGCTTAAGATCCCCAAGAAAATATGTGTTTGTGTATAAAGGTGATATCAACCCCAAACAAACAAACAAGGGAGAGCGAAATGCACCAATTGGCTGTGTAGGGTGTGTTGGATACCCTGGGGTAAGGTTTAGGTTTCTTTTTATCCATCTTTAAAAGTCTCAGCTTTTACTTGAGTCAAGTGCTTGAGCTTGTAACCTCTGGGAATATTTGAGAGCACTCAGGACTAACATCCTGACACTACATATAATGCTAAGTGGATTCAGAAATGTCCAGGACTCTCACCCTGAATAGGAGCATTTCCTATTTCATTCTTTGTTCACACCAAAGCCAAGCAAGTGGTCCCATCACTTCAAAGAGGTAAACACCGTTCATATGCCCCAGGACCAGCCAGGGCTTGGGTATTAGCCTCTGTTCCTCCTCTATTTTTCTAACAGGAATGAAGTCACACAGTCAGACACCGCCTTTGATGGGAGTCTTTCACCTGGTAACTAAACAGCAGGACCAACCTCTGTTCACTCATGGTCTAACCAGCCACTTTATCCCCTCTCCCCCATGCCCAAATTACTGCCTGGGTAGAAAGACTTCACCTGGTTCTCCACTTCCTCAAACCTGAGCAGCCAGCAACAGCGTGCAAGGAGCAGAGCTGTCCCTCAGGCACACACCCCAGGAGGGGAGATAGCACCCCTTCCTCCTTAGGGAACTGGTAACATCTTCCCTCTCCCGAGCTTCACCCAGGAGCCAGGGGTGCAGCACGTGTGGAGGGTTTGGGTGCTGCAAAGCTGAGGTGTCCCACTCAGCAGAGCACTCATCCCTCCTGCTCCCTGAACCGCGTGCTGAGTGAAGATACGCTTGGGGCTGGGAGGGGGAGCTGCTTCTGGACAGACAGCACCCTCCAGCCCCTTTGGCAGGGGCCTCAGGTAAGCTGAAATCAGGTGCTGATGGACAGAGGGCAACAAGTCCTAATCAGCACGGGGGAGGCTCTGCAAACAGTCACTCTGCAGCGCTGTGTACACTGCTCATTTCTGTGCGTGACTCATTCGAGTGATGGACACGGCCTCGGGGGGTTGTAACAGGCAGAAAGGTTAACATGGCCGTGAGTCACCAGGGTAAGACCCCACCGTGCAGAAGCCCTGGGTTTCCAGATAAGCAGAGGAGATTACTGAGGTTCAACTACAAATCTTATGCCAAAGTCTTTACTGAGTTAATGTAGTGAACGTAATGCTGGTATAGTGGAGACTATCTCAGCACAGGAGTTCAT